ATGCTTACTTTGGACCACAAAACGTAATAGGTGCTACAAAGAGAAAGTGGCATCCCTGTGGAATCTACGTGATCCACAAACTCACCTAATGCATCATCTCCAACTACAGTATTACCAAGCTGCATCATATATGAAAACCCAAGCTTGAGTAAGAGGGAGGAAGAGGATCCACTTCTATAGGGACCTAGTTTTCTTTGCCAACTTTATTCTCATCGCCTTTCAAGAACTTTGAGAACCAATATGCAGAAGATTTTGGATGCTGGGTGAGACCATTCTTGTAATCCACGAACACCATACCAAAGCACTTGGTATAAGCCTTGGGCCCACTCAAAGTTGTCCAATAGCGACCAAGCAAAGTAACCCCTGACATCTACTGCATCCCTATCCATGCAAATGATAAACACAAGGTTTAATATCCATTTTGGTCCCTCTACTATAGGAAAAAGTCTTTTTTTGTCACTGTACCTAAAAAATTTCCTTTTTAGTCCTTACTGTTCACAAATTCGGTCCCTTTTTAGTCCTTTCGTTAAATTTTTACTGATGTGGTAGGTTAATTAACGGAAACACTCATTCTTTTTTTTTTTTACTAAATTACGTGGAAAATCCACATGGCAAAAATTGATGACATGTTAAATTTTTTACCTTTAATTACTGATATACCCTCATCTTCTTCCCCCGGCTTCTCCTTCCTCCAGCTTTTTTTTTTTCTTTTTTTTTCTTTTACCTCCAAGTGAACCCAAGAGCCTGGGTTCGTCTTATCACTCTCACCCTCCTACTTTTCTTGCCAAGGTCAAGCCCTTCTCGCTCGGTTAGAATGACCAGATGGAACCGACGACGCTGTTGTCACCGGCCGTATGTCCAGGGCTTCCGTGTGAGGTTGGAGCCAAGAAATTTGGACTGCATAGCAATGGGAGCGCTATGTTATCTTGACGCTTTTCAGCCTCAATCACCTGCTGTTCCCAAAACCGATGCGAAGATCAAGTGCAGGTGCCTTATCACTCTTAAACAGATCTAGCAGACAATCGAAGAGGAAAATATCTTTATGACTCGGCAACAACAAAAATCCATCGACAAGCTTGTAATTAAGATAGTGATTCTAACCCTAACTCAGGAGAAGACATATTCAGGCATCACAAAGAATCAATTAAATTACCTCTATTTCCCATCGCATTTCCCTACGCTCTTTTAGGTTTCTGTTTCTATAACCGGAGTGAAGATCGAGTACAGATGCCTCGTCGCCGGATTTGCTGGACCACCGATGATTATTTCCTTCAGCGAACTAGTCAAACTGAAGATAGATCGCGATGCTAAGAGATAAATATACAGATTCGTGATGATGAATCGATGAATCGTCAGAATCTTGACGGGAGGAATGCTACAATCAATCAAGCTCAATGTCGAAAGCGATGTTGGCAGATTCATGGAAGTGGTAGACATGAGGTAGTTACAGAGGTCGCCAACGCAATTACGGTGACGGTTATCCGAACTCCGACGGCACCTGGAATTTGGTGTTTTGGAAGGATGATGATATTCTTGTGGAGTATAATAATGTGAGGGATCTGCTATCATACAACGTTGATACAGGCTCTTCAGTTCGCCTGGAGGTAAAAGAAAAAAAAAAGGCTGGAGGAAGGAGAAGCCGAGGAAGAAGATGAGGGTATATCAGTAATTAAAGGTAAAAAATTTAACATGTCATCAATTTTTGCCACGTGGATTTTCCACGTAATTTAGTTAAAAAAAAAGAATGAGTGTTTCCGTTAATTAACCTGCCACATCAGCCAAAATTTAACGGAATGACTAAAAAGGGGATGGATTTATGAACAGTAAGGACCAAAAAGGGGATTTTTTCGGTATAGAGACCAAAAAAGGGCTTTTCCCTATAGTAGAGGGACCAAAAAGGGTATTAAACCTAAACACAATTACCTATTTTGTTTTCCCACTAAGTGTTGCCTCTAATTGTTGATATAATCACCCTTTATTTCATTTGCTGTTTTTATGTCTAATCTAACCGGTCATCATTGGCAAACCAAATGAGAAGGCATTAGCAATAGTAAATCATCCAGTAAAAACCAACATAGCATAGCTTACTTGGCATGAGATCAAGAATGCTCAAATACGATTATGATGTGATTTAACATTGCTTTTAAAGAAAATATGAGTAAATAACACCCTTGTATCTATTAAGAAGATCAAGAGGGGGCTGGCTTGATAGCTTGAGCAACTGCTGCAAGGTATCCCTTAAAATATCGAACCCTCAATTTGTCATCCAGCACCTCATGGAGAGTCAAACTACTGTCATCTTCATCATCCATACCTGTCAAACATCAGTTACTGAGGATTCAGAGAAAATAAAATGTACCATGAGACAGCTGACATTACAGTAACCACAGATCAGCATGTAAAACAAATATGCTAAGTTAAAGTCATAAATCAATTATTATAGCTATAGGAGAAGGGGAGTCAGGTATTGAAGGCACAATCAACCACTGTAATCAAGGAAATGAAGGAGAAAAGCAAAAGGTGGAAATCAAGGAAATTATTACCAAAGAAAGAGCACAAGTCAGCAACGGTCGAGAAGCCAGCAACAGTCGAGAGCAAGTCAAAAGAGCAATCCAAGGAAATAATACAAAGAAAGAATAGGAAAGGATCTCAAAGTAATCAAAATATGGCCGTTGTACATAAATGCATTCTTTATATTAGTAATCTTGACTTAATGTCAATGATTCCTGAAATCATGCTATATGTAATATGTAAATAATATAAATAGTGAAAAATCCTCTTTCTCTCCTCACCTTGAGAGAGACTTCATATCCTGGTGCCTAAAACGCTTTTATGGTATCAGAGGCTTTCGATGAGGAAAAGAAAGAGATTACCCTTTAAGCAAACAATGGCTTCTTCAGTTTGTTCCCAATCAACACCATCTTATCCATATCCCGCGTTGAATGTGGCTAACTTTGTTTCCCTTCAACTTACTTCAGACAACTATCTTCTTTGGAAAACCCAAATGATGGCTTTGATTGAAAGTCAAGAGTTGTTGGGGTTTATCAATGGGGAATATGAGATGCCTAACCCCAAGGTACTTTCAAATGAAAAGGAAGTACCAAATCCAACTTATGCAACTTGGAGACGATCTAATCATCTTCTTCGTGGGTGGATTACCGATACCTTATCTAAAGAGGTACTTGGAATTGCTGTTGGCCTTGAAACTTCATTAGAAGTTTGGAAGGCATTAGAGGATCACTTTGCACAAAGCTCTCAAGACAGGGAGTTTCATTTGATGCAGGAGCTTTCAAGTATTCAGAAGGGAGATGATACTCTAAATGAGTATATCAGAAAATTCAAATATATTTGTGATGAACTCTCTACTATTGGTAAGACAATCTCTGACAAAAACAAAGTTTATTGGTTCTTGCAGGGGTTAGGACCGAGTTATGAAAATTTTGTTACAACTATGCTTAAACCCCCTATTTCATCATACAAAGAACTTATCCCTCTCCTAAAAAGCCATGAATCACGTAACTCTCACCATCAACAAAATGCCCCACCTCCTCAAATGGCTTTCCTTACACAAAAATCAAATGGGAGAAATTATTACTACAAAAAGAAAGGAAATGACCAGAGGTTGTTTAGCTCAAAAGGGAAAGGTTTTATTCAAACTAGCACTAACAACAAGTCAAGTGTTGGTTTTAAGCTTATTGCAGGGAATTCGGGAAGCATTGAAGTTAAGGCTAGTGGAAAGGATATTGAAAAACGACTTGACGTGGTTTGTCAAATATGCAACAAGCATGGTCATGTCGCTCTTAAATGCTTCAATCGCTTCAATCATGCATATCAAGCTAATGACATTCCTCAAGCCTTAGCAGCAATGACTATAAATCAGAATGATCTGGCAGAATGGTATCCAGACACCGGGGCAAAGGCTCACATGACCGGCAACTCTAGTAAGCTTATAAATTTAAAACCTTATAAAGGAAATGATGGTGTGATGCTAGGAAATGGTGAGACTTTAAATATGACACATGTTGGTGATTCACATTTGAATTGTGGTGATCATGACATTCCTCTTAAAAATGTGCTCTTGGTTCCACAAATAAAAAAAGATTTACTTTCTGAAAGTCAATTCACTAATGATTTACCATGTATTTTTGAGTTTGACAATGCTAGATTTGTTATCAGGGACAGATTCTCCAAAGAAATAGTTGCCACAGGTAGAAGGAAGGGAGGGCTTTATGCACTAGATGGTGGATATACAACACTTTTTTCAAGTTGTTTTAGGAAGACCAATAAAGAGGGGTGGCACCAAAGATTGGGGCACCCTCAATATCGTATCATTGATTTTCTTTTTCGGAAGAAACTTATTGATTTTAATACTATTCAAGATTTTAATGAAATATGTGATAGCTATCAAATGGGAAAGACATGTAGACTTCCTTTCTTACAAACAGATGATACATATGATGAACCTTTTCCAAAAATCAGTTGTGCTCTTTGGGGACCTGCACCTTTCAAGTCTAGTGAAGGTTTTCGCTATTATGTTACTTTTGTAGATGGCTTTACTCGTTTTTCTTGGTTTTACCCTATGGAGAAAAAATCTGATTTTTTAGACTGTTTTAGTCATTTTTATAAATATGTTGGCTGCCAATTTGGTAAGAAAATAAAAATATTGCAAACAGATGAAGGTGGCGAATTTGCTAATAAAAATCTATTACAATTATTAGCAAGTTGAGGAATACGTCACCAATCTGCATGTCCAAAAACACCAGAACAAAATAGTTTGGCTGAACGGAAGCATAGAAATATTACAGAATTGGGCTTAACTATGATGTTCCATGCTAAGTTACCAGTAAAAATTTGGACTGATGCATTTTCTACTACTGTTTTCCTAATAAACAGGTTCCCTTCACCAAGTCTTGACATGGACTCTCCATTTTTTAAGTTATATGGGAAACACCCTGACTACACTTCACTCCGTATTTTAGGATGCAAATGTTTCCCATATCTTGGGGATTATCGGAGAAATAAATTTGATCCTAAATCAGTACCTTGTATTTTCATGGGGTACAGTATGAAGCACAAAGGATACAATTGTTTTTCACCATCAACAAGAAGGATCTATGTGTCAAGACATGTGGTTTTTGATGAAACTTGTTTCCCTTTTGCAAATCCAAATGCATTATATGGGAAACAATTAACTGAAGGAGAAATTACAAATTTTAATGAATGGTTTACCACTAAAGATACTGACATAACTTTGCTTCCTGTTGTAGAGAATATAAATGCTATGGATTCTACCTATTTTGAAGCTCGCATGGGTCCTACACAATCAACTACTATAAGCCAAAAGCCATCTCTAACTAATGACGATGGAGGCCATGCAACATCTTGTACTGTCAACCCAGCTATTGTTATTGGAGACCAAATTGCACCAAATATTGCTAGTATTGAGCAACAAGAGGAGAGTAGTAATAAAGACGATGATGCCTCAACATCTACTTTTGACTTAACCATGACGCTAGCTTAAGCTGCAAACCCAATAGAGAATAGGCCAAGCTCACGTTCTCATCCCATGATCACAAGATCACAATGGGGAATTTGCAAACCAAACCCAAAATATGTTGCCTTACAAGTCCATTCCAAGGCTTCACTCATTCCAATGGAACCAAAATCCATTAAGTTAGCCTTGCAACATCCAGGTTGGACAAAAGCTATGCATGAGGAGTTGTCTACTCTTAAGGAAAACCATACATGGGACCTTGTACCTCGCACAAAAGACATGAATGTAATAGGCAGCAAATGGGTATTCAAGACAAAATTAAAATCAAATGGAAGTCTAGATAGGTTGAAAGCTCGAATTGTAGCAAAAGGCTTTCACCAAATTGATGGTGTAGATGTTTTTGAAACTTTCTCTCTGGTCATAAAACCCAGTAGCATTCGAGTGGTACTCACAATTGCCATTGTAAAAGATTGGGGTATCCGACAACTCGATGTTAAAAACGCCTTCCTTCATGGAAATCTTTCCGAGCTAGTCTTCATGGAGCAACCCCTAGGCTTTATTGATGATTGATATCCTTCACATGTTTGCCATCTTCGAAAAGCTCTTTATGGCCTAAAACAATCTCCTCGCGCTTGGTTTGATCATTTGAGTATATTTTTACTAGAATTGGATTTTTCTTGTAGCTCTGCTAATCCTTCTTTGTTCATATATCACAGTCATCGAGGTATGCTCCTTTTACTCATATATGTGGATGATATGATTCTTACAAGAAGCGACTCAATTCTTATTCACTGGTGCATGTGTGAACTGGCACGAGAGCTTGCTATCAAGGATCTCGAGAACCTACACTATTTTCTTGGAATTGAGGTGCATTCTAACAAGTCTGGTCTTTTCCTATGCCAATCCAAATATGCTCGTGAACTACTTCAAAAGGCGCAAATGGTAGGTTGTAAACCCATCTCTACCCCTTTGGCCATCAAGGCTCGATCCTCAAAAACTGAAGATTTTCCAAATCCCACCTTCTACCAAAGCATTGTCGAAGGGTTGCAATACCTGACCTTTACCAAACCTGATCTCTCCTTTGTAGTAAATCATGTTTCACAATTCATGCATGCTCCCACCTTAGATCAATTTCAATTAGTTAAACGTATTTTACGTTATGTTGGTGGCACACTAGATTATGGCATGCATATTTCTAATCAAAGTACATTAGATTTATATGGTTTTTCAGATGTAGATTGGGCTGGTTGCCCATTTACTAGAAGGTCAACCACTGGCGTTTGCACATTTTTAAGTGGTAATTGCATCTCTTGGTGTGCAAAAAAGCAACCTACAGTGGCAAGATCAAGCATTGAAGCTGAATATCGCTTTATGGCATCTGCAACAGCTGAACTTACATGGCTTTCTAAACTTCTTACTGATATTGGTTTGCTTCTTCTTAAACCCCCTATCCTTTATTGTGATAACTTAAGTGCTCTTTACTTGACTATTAATCCTGTTTTCCATGCTAGAACCAAGCATATTGAAATAGATTATCATTTTTGTTAGAGAAAAGGTTGCATTGGGAAATCTTATCACTCGTTTTGTGAAGTCAGAATCACAAATAGCAGATATCTTTACGAAGCCCTTGCCTAAGCATTGTTTTAAGGAGCTCTGTGTCAAATTTGGCCTCTGTCAACTACCACGGCCTAGTTTGAAGGGGAGTATTGAAGGCACAATCAACCACCGTAATCAAGGAAATGAAGGAGAAAAGCAAAAGGTGGAAATCAAGGAAATTATTACCAAAGAAAGAGCCCAAGTTAGCAACGGTCGAGAAGCCAGCAATGGTCAAGAAGGCAGCAATAGTCGAGAGCAAGTCAGAAGAGCAATCCAAGGAAATAATACAAAGAAAGAATAGGAAAGGATCTCAAAACTAATCAAAATATGGCCGTTGTACATAAATGCATTCTTTATATTGGTAATCTTGACTTAATGTCAATGATTCCTGAAATCATGCTATATGTAATCTATAAATAATATAAATAGTGAAAAATCCTCTTTCTCTCCTCACCTTGAGAGAGACTTCATATCCTGGTGCCTAAAACGCTTTTATCAGGTACCATTTTCAGTCACATATATTGTGGGATTATTATATGTCTGAGCTATGTAATTCAAAACCTTCCGTATGCCCCAGGGCACAATATAGAGCCACTCCGAAGCTGCCTGTCATTCATATATCTCTTAGTAGACTGGAAGACTTGGATCTTCCAAAGCCCTAGTCTATGCACAAATACACATGCACAAGGACACCAGAGACATAATTCATACCTTCTCACCAATCATCTCACCCCCTTCCCATTGAGCTGATAATAAACGGTAAAAGTTATTATTACAAGCAAAATACTGCCGGAAAACAGTAAGCAAAAAATTTTCATAAGTATCATTACCAATTATTTCAATCTCTTGATCTTTATAGAAAGAGACTTCTTCAGGACCATCTGCTGCATGAGCAATAAACCTTGCTGAATACTGATTTAGGCCAACAAAGTCCATTGTGTTCCTAAGCAACTCTTTGTCTTCCTCTGAGAACTTGGGAAGTCGGTTTCCAAGTTTTTCACGCATAACTTGAGGGTAGTCTCCATAATAGAGAGGATGTAAGTACCTGTGACAACAATGATAATGGATACATGAAAATTAGAAGTCATTAGAGATTCCTGAACGAATAAGATGATTTAATTACATAAACAAATTATCATAAAGTTGCACAGACCATAAAAAAATTTAGCTTCCTCATCTCACTCATTTATTGTTTTTTGGTAAAAAAATAGTCCAACACTTGCCTAGGGGATTCACAGATGGTATAGGTCTACACTTGGGAAAGTAGTGAAGAGACTGTATTTAAATAAAATCGCTATATTACAAGTCTATTTGCATACAGCCAATAAAACAATGTTTAACTTGACACCCGGAAAGAAAGGAGAGTAATTGAGTTTAAAAAACTACCATCCCAGCTGAAAATCAAGTCGCCTTGCTGCAGCACGTTTATCTTCACTTTTGTCAGAATTAGCCTCTGCCCATTCACAATCCATTGGGGAAGACTGGAAATCTGAGAAATTAGGATTGTCGGTGAAAAGAAGATGAAAAGGGGCTGGCCGAGAAAAAAAAAAAGTGAAAGCAATGATACGAGAACTTAATAAAACTGGTATTTTTATTAAGTCTTACCTCCTAAATTTTTAAGAGGTAGGATTGATTGGTATTATTCTTATTTGTTTATCATCAATATATTTCAATTTTATTTTTTTTATAGTATTTTAATATAAAAAATAATCATCTATAAAACTGGGGCTACCAAAAATATTTTTTTATAGTAAGTATTTGAGAAAGTTTGCTTGGTATATGTTTGAAAAATTATTTGGATATAAATTATTTTTTCTTTTTTTAAACAATGTCTTTGAGAGTGTATTGATTATATTTTTTTTATTATTAATATACATAATAAAAGTAAATTATAAAAAACTAAAAAAATAAATATTAATTTTAGCATCAATATCATGTATATTAAATTAATTGACTAATTATTAAAATTAAAGTCAAAATTTATTTTTTACGTAATTTAATAACTAAAAAATATATTAAATGTATTCTTAAGAATACAAGTCCAAAAAAAACTCAAAAAATAAAAATAAAAATTAATTTTACTAATTATCTAATAAGAAATATCTAGGTGGCATGTATGTTAAAATTAATGCCAAATTTTTTATGTTCATATGCAAATTAATGCATAAAAGATTAAAAAGATTAAGATATTCTTAACATGTACTCTAAAGGCAATCATTTAATTTTACATGTTATTTAAATTTTTATTGTTCATTTTTTGTAAACTTAATTTAATTTTTTGGCTTTTCAAATATAAATTTTAAAAAGAAATTTAATATATTGCATAAATAATAATTAAAAAAATTTTAAATCAAATTATAGTGCTTAACAAGAATCGCATATACGAAGAAAAATCTTTTCAATTATTTTTCATATAAAAATTGTTAGATTTTTATTTAAAATTTTTATCTAAAAAGTCAAAAATTTTAAATAAATCTATTAAAAATAAACAGTGAGAGCAAGTAATTCTCTTCATTCTAGTAAAACCTATAACATTACATACATCCAATTATTAATAACATGTAAAAATTATATAATCCTTTCCTTCAACTTTATTGGATCTATTTTTTATCTAAGTAAGAACAAAATAATTAATTAATAAAATTTTATATTTATCT